AATATCAGGGATGCTTTTCGTTTTATTTCATTTATTGTTTGCATATACATAATATCTCTCTCTTTCTGACATTACAGAAAGATCAAGGGACAGCCTAAAAATGATTAAACAACATTATCGGCCTTGCATTTTATACAAAAACGCGGATGTAAAAAAACATGATAGGTATTACTAGCGGTATTGTCGAACGCCCAAGAATCGGGATACCAGCTTGAAAAATCCCATTCGCCGGCATCCCACTCGAAAATGGAGTTCAAATAAAGCCTACTTTAGAGGAGACCCGTAATTAGTTCTTAGACACAAAGGCCGCTGTGATGGTATTACCGTTTTAGCTGCCACCTATTTAATTAAGGCTTCCACACAAAATACTATTGTAGAGTACTTCGAGAATATATACCGTTAATGAAATATTTGGAGTCGATTATCAAGATGATCTTCATTAAAGTTTCATTGTATTTCCACTCTTGAGAAGTAAGGTCGAAATCTTAGTTGTGCTATCCGAAACTATTCCTTAAATAACTGACTAAGTGTTGCTTGCTTGTTTAAGCTTTCTCATTTTCATACTGTTGATTTATTATGTGTATGTAAATATATTCTCTCATACTTATAATCAGTATGAGAGAGACTCATAGTGATGGGTAAAGTAAATGGAAGACGATTCAGAGGTTGGAGCCAAAAAAGATGGGGTTTTTTTTCCTACCTATACTGATAGCCTTGAGAGGCTATATTAAATTCTCCTTGACATGTAGGTGAGCTCACAGGGCTCAAACCGGGTGTGTTGCTAACACTGGCCCTAGCAAGAGCAATGCTTCGCAGAATCTACCACCGGATCGCAAACGCGACCCACTGAGAAGATCCGGCGAGAAACTCAGTGAGCTGTGTCTATGGATTAATTTACTCGTCGAGCCCTTCGTCGGAAGCGACGGGTTCGACGAGGACGGTGACCGGTGCTTGTGGTACCTAAAAGCACCGTTAATAGATCGGGAGTATCCGTAATGACGTGTTTAGGGTGACGTCGACTGTTTACCATTCGGTCTACAGGATCGGGTATGTAATTCAAGATGGAGTGACCAAGTGTCCGAGCATCTGGACACGAAACTGAGCCACGCAGTTCACTGGGCCACTGACCGACATAAGTGGCTACAAATCACAAGAAAAGCTCACACGAGAGCCATCACAATGCTCAACAATGCGCGATCGACTGAAGGAGGAGATAGAAATTATTAGTATGTAAGTATATTGATATATCTATACTAATAATCTACAGTGGTTTTTACGGATGTTCCGTTATAACTACTGAACCATTTATCCGATTGACTTGAAACTTGGTATCCATGTAGAAAATACATGTACTTAATGGATAGGCTAATATTTATATGAGTGTTGGATTCCCTAATGATAATGACAATAAATAATAATGTTAATTTTAAATGCCCAGCGAAGCGGACGAGTGCGGCTATTAAATCATATAGTCATTTCATATTACATGTAAACGGTATATGTATATCTATTTATTGTATGTATGTATTTTCTTTAATAATATATTGTTATTAGTACACCGCCACATATCTGCCGTATTTATCTTTTCCAGAATTTCTGTAAATTAAACGGTTGTCTGGAAGGGATCGTTTTAAACGATAAGAGCGCTTATTGTACAAATATATCTGCTTGTTGACTTTTTTTTATGTTAAGTGTGTTTTGGAGGGCAGTAAAGTATGTATATTCTCTCCCTCTTTCTCTCCCGCTCTCTAACTGACTGCATAGCGGTAATGCATAGTACGGTATCAATATGCAACTGTCTATGTAATTCAATAAGACATTCATAATTTCATCTCAAAATGGTCATTGAGGTGATTAGATTTTACCGAATAAGCGACAACGTCTCAAAAAATACTCTTCGTGAAAAAAAAAAAACCATTTGCCACCCTAAAAATTGTAATTCAAGATTGCCAGCGCACAAATTAGCAATTTCCATTTCCAAATTATCCGTTGCGTTCCTAAAGCTTCTCGAGGCTCCCCTCGGCAAATCGGCATGCCCATACAGAGCTTAAAGTCGTTTAAAATTCATTTTCTCTCGAATTGTTGGCCCTCGCCCCATAACTACCCTCTAATCACGCGGTACTAACATGCACACTTATGAAGTGGCTTTTAAAACATCAAAGACTAACGCCTCGTTCCTAAAAATAGGGGAGAAAAAAATGATAGCAGTACTGCTTTATTATGAATAGAAAAATTTTAGTTTGAGTTTTTGAATATCATCCAGTTTTGTTCTGCTGTGGTGAAGCAGTAATGCGTTTCTGTTTGAAGGGTTGGGCAGCCCTTATACTGTAGAACTGAGACTTGAATTCGTGTTTCAATGTGGATGATGATATTTACGTCGTCGATGTCTATAGAATCCGGTAACCAATTAACATCAGATGCGCCGTGAGCTCGTCCATCTACCTAAGCTGTAAAAGAATAAATGGACACAAATCATTTTAAAAATATGTGACAAATTTGTGAAGGTAAGGAGTTGTTTGTTTTATCACAAAATTTTAAGGGACAAAATTTCGAAATTCTGTTGAAAAGAATATAGACACTTTTAATACGGTATATAAAATTTTCAAGTTTTTGAAACGAAGCTCCTTAAAGGACGATGCGGAGGGGTACCCGAACCGGGAAAAAACGTCCGTAACGTAAGATTTTTATTATATATGTATAGTCTTAGTATGATGGCTACACAGTGTCTAATGTATAGTCTACGTGATGACGGTTATTATTATTATTCATATAAATAGCAGTTTCTTTGTATATTATAATTATATATTTTTTATAAATCATTGTGAATAAAATAAAGTTGATAATTTTGTGAAGTACTTTTATTTTATTTTTATCAATAAAAAAATCATAATAAAAAATGTACACCCGAATAATTATTTTCTTTATACCTCGAATAGAACTTGAAATTCATATTTTTTAAATAAGGAACTTCGTTCCTATCCGGTGTCCCACGACACCACACATCTTTTTTTTTTTTTTTCGACACACAAATACAATGACCTGAAAGCATATATTTCCTATAAACAGAATGATGCCGAATCGACAATGAGCGTGCTCATAAAACGTCATCGTAAATGAGACTTCTTCGTTTGCTGTTACTGAAATGCGAAGCGCCCCCTCAAACAGTACGTACGCAGTAATCCTCTTGAAGGCCTGAAATAAAAGTGGCTGGAGATTTCCTTAATTAAAGGTTTGAACAACCTCTTTGATGTCGTTGGGGGAACGAAAAAAAAAAATTGGAAACTGGAAATTCTTCGATGTCGCCGCCTCTTCATTGGAAGCCGTGAATTTTGATGAGTTTTCAATGTATTTTTAAAGGTAAATATTGAGTGAATTCGATGCTCCCTCGTCGCTAATGAATCCGTATCAGATATTTTATTCAAACTCTCCGAAAAATAAGCTACCTAATCAGTAACAAAAAATGCTGAATTAAAAAAATTATAACCTTTTTATTTACCACGGTGTTCGATTATTTTATCTTATGATATGGTATGAATTTGGGTTGAAGAACGTTCGTATATATGCCATGTTATATATTTATTACGTGCACCTACAAGTATAATACACTCGGGTGCAATGAAATCGCACATCTGTACATTTTTTGAAAAATATTATTTACTTACTTTAGGTTAGTTCAATACCTATTCAATGATACCATATAAGTGGAGATAAGGTTACTTTCTTGAGGAAAATAAAATACAACAACAATTTAATCTTTATTACAAAATTATTACTCAACTAGACCGTTTAAAATTTGGGGATTAATAAAAAAAAACACAAAAAAATACTGAAAAATCATTTATTAGTAACAAGTATTGCCCCCTCTTGCTCGAATTACAGCTTCACACCGATTCCCCATCGACTCTATCGTCGGCTGTCCAGTTGACGTGTTCTTGTGCAAATCGAAAACGAGCCCGGCGGTGAGCTGGCGTCAATTTAGGGCCATTTGCTGGCCTATGCGCAGTCAAACCACCTTCGGCAAGTCTCCTTCTGACTGTCCACCTGCTGACTACCACTTCACGCACCTGTTGAAGCTGCTGTGCAAGTTCAACGGCAGTCAAACGACGATTNTGCTGGCCTATGCGCAGTCAAACCACCTTCGGCAAGTCTCCTTCTGACTGTCCACCTGCTGACTACCACTTCACGCACCTGTTGAAGCTGCTGTGCAAGTTCAACGGCAGTCAAACGACGATTTCGCAACGCTGTCGTTACAAGAAATCTGTTGTCGCGCTGTGTTGTAGCTCTTGCTCGACCAGATCCTCGTCACCTTTCAAAGCCACTAGTCTCCCGATAGCGCTGGTACACACGACGAACTGAATATCGGCTGATATTCAGTTGTCGAGCTACAGCACTCTGGTTCTGGCCCGCTTCAATTAGAGCGACGACTTGAGCGGCTTTTTCCGGAGTAGTATCCATCTTTTTCAGACAACTGCAATTGGAGTCACTAGAGGTCTTATCAGGTTAAGCGTTGGCTTACAACTGATGACGTTTTACACAAAACATGCCTTTTTATACCTGCAGTTGGTCTTGCAAACTGCAGTGAGTTGAGGGAGCAATTTTTGGAGTTTGCTGTTGTCGTTTTGTTTCAGCAGGCAGGTAAACTTATCATGTCTTATGTGGTATCATTGAATAGGTATTGAACTATCCTTTAACCTTATGTTAAAAGATATATGTATTTTTTAAAATAAAAAGAAGTAAATAATATTTTACAAAAAATGTGCGATTTCATTGCCCCCGAGTGTAGTTCAGTGGTAATTTAATTAAATGCCATAGACCTTTTAATTTAAAAAAAAAAGTCATGTTACGACATTATGCTAATCATGGTTGGATCGGCTCTACTTAAACGACAGACAATCTTTCGAACTCAAATTCTCACCAGCAAAACGAATTTAGCCTGTAAATTAAAACACAAAAGATATTTGCAGATTCTATTAAAATTCCCAAGATATGTATGTTAATATTTATATGTAGTGCGATGTTCCGTTCGATGCTGAATAATTATTTTTAGTCGATTCTTGATTTGAGTATTTTTGTATGAGAACATCTCGGGCTGAAAAAAAATTTCAAGATAATTTTTGGGGAACATTAATTATAATTAATTACTTCAGTTAGTAAGTCTAATCGAGCAACAGAATCGATTTTGTTATGATAAAGTACCAGCATTATTAAGCTATTGCATAGCATATATCGCGGACTTTGAGCGCGGCGACCGAATCAAAAAATTTCGTAACGAAAATATAACCTAACACCCCCACTCCCACTCATTCACACGTTGCGCTTGTGGAGTATTTGTGAAGAAGCCCGCGGCGTGACGTCGCACTGCATGCGCATCATGAAAAGTCTGCCCATCTCTCTCTCGCGCGGTCTAGCTTATGAGTATGAAGGTAACACTTAATGTTCCTTTTGCTTTTGTTAATGTATAAATATAGCGTGGTCTTATTTTATTATTGTTTTAATATTAAATTATTATTGTCAATTATAATTGAATAAGTTGATAAAAACTGCTATGCAATAGCTTTACCGCGGCAGTCCCCGATTGCCACACGTGTTTTTTTGTTTGCGTTTGACGTAACAGCTTTAGATATTTTAAAAAATTATGCTTACCTCGCCTGCTGGCAAATCGATTGACGACGTCAGCAAATTCTCTACCAATAATTTCAACGATAGATTTATTTCCGAACCACATATCCATAGCGCTATTGGACAGCCATTTCGAAGGTCTGTAATCCCTTGGAGGATGAGATGTTTCTATCTTCACTTTCCGACTTTCCGAGACTATTATAATGAGCTGTAGTATAATTAAACTTTTGTAATATTCCCTAAGCATTTTGTAGCTGATGTACTTACGCTGCGAGTGGTTCGTGAAGAATGATATGAATATTTAATGCGTCTAAAATATTTCTGAGATAGTTGATGATTAATCAGGATGTGTGCTGATGTGTTGTTGTAACATGTTGCGGTAATAGTTTCCGTGTTTAGTGTGAACCAAGTATTTCGTATTTTCTTTAGTTTTCATGAGCCGTGAACATAATTAAAATTACTTTTACGTTATAATATCACGTTATATTATTTTCGTCGTTTCATATACTTTATACTTTAGACCAGGGGTCAGCAACCTCTTTGTCCTTAAGGGCGCAATATTAAATTTGAAAGTCACCGAGGGCGCATATTTTACTGATAATCAACAGGTATAAATAGGCATTAAAAAAACAGATTTTTTATAACTTTATTTTGTTGGTGTCATAGATAATGATACATATAATTCAGTGTGAAACTTAGGTGTCCATAATTTCAACTAATTTCTTATAATTGGGGATATATTTAGAGTTCCCGGTCCTTAAACAATTATCTAAATGTGAGTCATTAAGCTTTGTTCGGTATTGAAAGAAAAGAATTATTTAGGATTACTTGGTAGTTTTAAATGCACGGTCTACGCGTGGTCTATTCGAAATACGATCACACACTAACAAAAAATACGTACGGGTTATTAGATACGCTCAAGGTAAGCAAACTGCTAATCTATGCACAATTCTAAGCTCAACTGACTACTTGCTGTATATCGCCGTTTGACAAGAGTAAGTAAATCGCTCTGGCTGTCATACATTTACATTAGTCCAGCGAGGGCGCATTAAAAACCGATCGGGGGCGCCAAGGCACCCGCGGGCGCCGCGTTGCCGACCCCAGCTTTAAACTTTGCTGGTGGTAGGACGTATTGTGAGTCTACACGGGTAGACACCACCACCCTGCCTATTTCAGTCGTGAAGCAGTAGTGCCTTTCAGTTTGAAGGCTGGGGCAGCCGTTGTACTGTTAAAACTGAGATCTTAGAGCTTTGTCCGGCTCCGGTAACCACTTAACACCAGGTGAGCCGTAAGCTCGTCTATCCATCTAAGAAGTAAAAAAGGTTACTCGTCGACATTTGAAAATTGTGCTAACTACCGTCATTATTGTTTAAAACATATTTCTAGATTTTTAAACGTCAGAAACATTATATTGAGCATAAACATTAAAATCTACTTTAACGATTTAATCTCAGCGTCTTTATCGCGGTCAATTTTTTTTTTATTGCTTAGGTGCGTGGACGACCTCATAGCCCACCTGATGTTAAGTGGTTACTGGAGCCCATAGACATCTACAACGTAAATGCGCAACCCACCTTGAGATATAAGCTCTAAGACCTCTGTATAGTTACAACGGCTGCCCTATACTTCAAACTGTAACGCATTACTGCTTCACGGCAGAAATAGGCAGGGTGGTAGTACCTACCCGCGCGGACTCACAAGAGGTCCTACCACCAATTATACCAAGTATTTGTTTCACCACGATATTAGCTCACTTCGATCGACCAGAAAAGAGCTTGTAACTATCACATCTTCAAAACAATATCTCCTTTCATAGCTTTGTTCAAAACAGTAGCTTTGTTTTTGTTTTTTTTTAAATCGAAATCCCTAATTTTATAAAAAATAAAACAATAACAAAATATACAATCTGTATCGTTTTTCGGCGGTTTTCGTGATGCATAAATAAATAAATAAACTTAATGGCATTAAAATTTCATCTTAATTTTTTATTTATTTTTTATTTTTATTTTATTTTATGCTAAAAGAATATATTACACGGATTGCTCTCTTGTCGCATGCAATGGAATGCTTCATTGGTTTTTATCTGAAATAGAAAAGCATTACATACTTTAAAATTTGCTTTAATTGTTTATTAAATTACATCCTTATCAGCCCACGAATGACTCTTGTTGGTTAAATGGCTTTCCCAAGGTTTGCCACAACGGTCGGTCCTACGCTACCCGCGACCACAGAATTCCTCGTCCCAGGCATACCCACACTGTTTCTTCTTCTACGAATATGATATTCAATTCATATAATTAAAAGTAAATTTTTAGAATTTTTGTTTTAATTATTACACCTCATAAATATGTATTAATTAGCGGACTAAATGTCCAATGTATTCTCTGCCAGTCAACTAAAGCTAATGCAGACAAAATAATGGCAGGCTTATCGAAACATAAATTTAGACCCACAAACATATTATATGTACTTAATTTAAAAGAAAATAAACATTAAACACATACACAAAAATACATAAGTACACACTACACGTAAGTGTAAATATAAGTGTAAGTATAAACTATACAATATTAGAGAAAATATATAATTATAAATTTAATGAAACACATCAATTCTAAATGATTCCGCTAATTTTACCAAAAGCATTCGCCGAATCCTTAACTTGAACATACACCGGTAGTACTTTAGATGTTTAATTAATTAATGAATATTATATTATAAGAAGGTTCGATTAACTTAGACATCACATTTATCTACAATAACCTTTTTTTTTTTTTTTTTTTTT